CCGCTTCATTCGCCGGTACCGACGGAGCGGAACAGCATGTCACTAAAACGGTACGAATTGTCCTTTCCCATTGCGAATACATTGATTGCTCCTGCGTTGTCGCCGTCGGCCCGCCGGCGAAGCGTCGGGGCACATCGAGTGTTGTCAGAGGCGGTTGCCGGGGTTAAGCGACATCTTCAGCCTCTGTCATCGACACCGCCTACCACCGATCACGTCTAAAAACACTTTGACTGGTGGACTGGGTTCCAGGCATCTTACCGTCGCTTCCTCCTTTCGCCAAATTTTTGGCACTAGTATCAAGCCTATAGGAAAGACCACTGCCTCCAAAGCCTGACGCTCTCGGTCACTCCGACGCGGCAGCTACTCATTCGGCATTCCTTCATTCTCGATTCAGCTTTAATGAGTACTCTAGAGCTAACTAGAACTAGCGTACATGTCATGAAGGATATCTCAGCCATCCCCACTGCAAAATCCGTTTGATGTCAAGTCCATTAACCCCTGTGCTCTGCCGATAGTCACCACACGTCTTCGCCATGGACAAGCATGGTGATCTGACCGTGGCCCAGCTAAGTGTAATGCTTCTTTTCACCGTAGGTTCTCTCTAGAAACTTCATGAGGTTGTTGAAGGTATTCTCGCTGTAGGGTTTCTTGTTGAGGGGTTTCACGTCGGTTACCAGTTCCAACTGACCTAGGGGCGCGTCCGTTCTGCCGTATCTCCTGGCGGCAAGGCCCACGACGGTTTTAAACATGGCCATCCTGTCCATATCGCTGTCCATGTCCCACATGGCCCCTTTCGCCACATTCAATTTCGGCTAGTCCTTCGTAATACTGCCGCTCCAGACCGGCAACCGCGGTGCCGCCCAGTTCACGAATCCTCTAGTGACTCTGGCCGAGAACAGTTGCACCGTCCGCCGGTAAGCCACGAAGATCAAGACATCTGTGCGGTCCTTCTTCAAGTTCTCACCGAGCCTCATTGCATCGTCACAAATGAGAAAAGCACGTTCGGTTGCTGCAACGCAAGCGACTACCGCCGCACCGGTGGCATGGCTAGGGGCTGCGATCTTGATACTGACTGCGGGAACTGCAGCCCATTTGACGAATTCTCCACTGATCGGACGGACAGGCTGCTTCATTTGAGGCACCCACTGGTTGACGGCGAGACCATACAGGTTGAAATTCGATTCCACCGGGGTAGCAAAAATGGAGAGCTTGTTGTTGCGCTTGATCAAATCGAGGGTCATGTTGATGAGGGCCAACGGAGCTGTCCCGACCTTATCAAACAGCCCCTTCTGCCGAATCTGGTTGATCGGATTGTCTTCCGCCAGCCCCTCATCGATTTCTGGGTAAACGAAGGCAGTCTTCCATTGTTTCAAGGGTGCGCAAGGAATGTTTTTCAAGCCTTTCCAGGATTTGAGAATTGGGTTGAAAGTGATGTTGAAATCTTCGGGCTTGAACTCGTTGGAAGCCATCCATGAACTGTTAGCAGATACGATAAATGGAAGTGAGGCTAACCTGATTGGAGCTGCGTGTCGGGGTGGCAGCTTTTGCGAATGTGAATATAACTGTCGTTGCAACGGTAAGGGAAGTGTGGTCGTGAGGTGTGGTGAGTTGAGTGTTTGTATAACCGCTTATATTGCGTTCTTTGAGGACGGAAGACGCTGGAAACACTGCCGAGAAGCAAGGCGATCCAAGTGCCTCTTCAACTCGCCAAGCCGAGACGCTGATAACATCGGTTCAAACTTCAGTTTGAATGTTCTTAGAGATGAGAAGACATAGCTTTCGCAATCTTGGATTGAACTGCTGGAGCCATCGCAGGAAGACAACTGCACGACCATTGTACATTATCACCGCAAAGCACAACTAGGACTACAAGGCCAACGCTCAATTTGAGATGAGGAAGCAAACAGCGGACTCGGAATGGAGTATGTAGATGTCTAGCAGGAATTTAGCAGTTGCCGTCCAGCTGAATGTTCCCAAAAAGCGCCCCTGATTGGCCACCGCCCTTCCTAAAAAGTCATGACTCGCCCAGCCCTCATCCCCCGATCGATAAGATAAGATCCCATCACCAACTTCATCTCTCCGCCACATCTTACAACCTCATCACCCCATCACACCCACCCCCCCTCCAGCACCATGTCCTCCGAAGCCTACGAACGCGAACGGCAAAACAACTCCCGCCTCGAAGATCTCGCCGGCAAAGTCTCCGCCCTCCGCGGCGTCACCATCGACATCTACGACAACGCGCGCAACCACGAGCTCATTGACCGCAACGTGCGTCCCCCCGCCCACGTCCCCCGACTCCGCCGACTGACACATCGCAGGATGAAGCGTTCACTAGCTTTGGCGCGGGCTTGAAGAACAGCGCTAATCGCCTTGGACACATGGCGAGGGCGGGGAATAAGGTCGCTGTGTTTAAGCTGGCGGCTATTGTGTGCGGCGCCGTCATCGTGTTGTGGTGGATAAGTGGCTTCTTTTTCTAGCGACTGGGAATGGATATACAGCGGCTGCAGCGTTCGGCGGGTTAGGTGCGGCTTTTGTGGGCGTTGGCGTTGGGCATGTACAATGGGATGGGGCATGAGACAGTGGAGTAATTTGTACATCACCACCTGCAGGCGGGCCCAAAGATCATAACTTCACGTTGGAACATATCTTGGTATTTCTGATCATAGTGCTATACGCTAACTGCAGCCACGGCCGCTACATCACTCCCAAACATTCGAGAACAGATCATCCCCGCCAAACCCGCCACCTGGCTTCGACTTGGGCACCTCCACCTTGGTCCCCGGATGCGGAGGCGCGGGCGCGCTGCTCCACCCACCAAAGTCCTCGTCGGCACTCACCTGCGGTACAGCGGCCTTGGGAACACCGAACCCGTTGCCGAACCCGTTGCCGGAGTCCCACGCGCCGGTGGTCGCCGACGACGTGGCAGGCGCTGCAGGCGCAGTGGTAACGTCCCCCCACGCTTCATTCGAGCCCCAGGGATCGAACGCAGCGCTCATGGCCGGGGCAGCTGGCTGCGGCTTCGGAGCTGGAGCAGGAGCCGAGAGGTTGAACACAGAGTTCGCGGCGGGAGCTGGTGCTGGCGTAGTAGCCTTGGGCGGAGACAGCGGCGGTGCGGACATGAGATCGAACAGGTCGTTGTTAGCCTTGGGAGGAGGGGCCGAAACCTGGCCAAGCGGCGCATTGCTGCTTGCGAAAATGTCACCGAAGTCGTTGCTGCTGCTGACGCTGCGTTGGGTGGGCGGAGGGGTTGGCTTCGCGGCAGGCGGGGCTGCGTTGAAGAAGTTGCCTCCGCCACCAAGCGATACTTTGGTTGTGTGCGGCGGCGCAGGTGTCGCCTTGGGACTCGCCATGCTGGCAGCCAGGTCGGCAAATGGGGACGGCTTGGGCAGCTGTGGAGCGGGCGCGGAGCCCAGGTTCAAGCTGCTGAACGCATCAAGCCCACCAAAGGCGGACTGCTGAGCCGGCGGGCCTATGCCAAAACCCCCACTACCAACCTGCGCTTGCGGCTGCGCTTGCACTTGGGGTTGCTGCTTCGGAACCGACGCGTACAGAGAAAGGATCGACTGCTTCAGGTCGGGCCGCGAAGCAGCGTTGGAGGCGGCACCTGTCGTACTCGACGGGCGAGCAGGCGGCGCAGCATTCGATCCGCCAAAGAAGTCCAACCCGAGAAGCGAGTCTGCGGGCTTCGCCGGCTTCGGGGGTTCGGCTTTAGGAGGCGGTACCCGGTTTCCTGGCGGCCCAGTGCTAGGACGCGCGGGCCCTGCCGGCTGGCCGATCAAGTCTATCCCCAGGGATTTGGATGCAGATGCCGCCCGGGACGCTGTAGCTTTCTGCGACGCAGACCGTTCCAACTTTGCCTTTTCCTGGACCACATTCAAAGGCTGGCGCGTTAGTGGGTGTAGACCAATGAGAGTAGGGACATCTTACCACGTCGTCATCCCCATCCACATCCAGAGTCGCAGGATCCGGCATCGGCCCGTCCATGACCCAACGCTTCGACTCATACTTCGTGCGGATGAAGTTCTCGATCTTCGCCTCCGATGGAACGTGACCGGGCGCCAGCTTCGCCTCCCAGTACCTATGCTGTCAGCCAGGGCATGCAAGATTGTGGCAGACTTACTTGTTGGCTCTCGAGTTGCCCCATCGCAGCATGCTCTGAAGCTGTTCGTCGGTCCACGAGTCGAGGTCAACCGATTTGACGCGACTAATGTGTGTGCCCATTCCGCGGTGTATACCTGAGCATCTGATCTGTCAGCGACTGCCGACCGCATGGAAGAGCACCATACCGTATGCAGATGAAGATCCCTAGGTTCCAGCTAGCCCATCGTGGGTCTGAAGGTCAGCAAGGCTGCGAATACGCAGTAAATGAAGTGTACTCACGTTTGTTGCGTTTACAGTCCGCGCAGCTCTTGTTTCCTTCGAGCTTCACCAAGGTCTTCAATGTCTGACGGTTCTGCTCCACGCGGGTCTCTGTCTGATTTATGCGGCGCGACATGGCTACTGCGGTTGGAAACCGTGAATGTGGGGTAGAATTGGGGTTTGAAGGCGACAGCCGGAACCGGCAGAGGGCGCTGGTGCGGTGTGCCTACGGCTCGGAAGAGGCACAGATGACGTAGCGACCTGTTGTAGCGAGCAAAGAAGAAGTTTTGAGCGTCTGCCGGAGTACGTTTTGAGAACTGGCAATGCGTGAAACTTGCCGTTGGTGACGTTGGCACTCGATCCGTATCAACGACAGCAGTCAAGCCGGGGGGCGCTTGTGAATTTCTTGGCAGTGATGGACTGTTCCGCGAACCGTAAAAGATCACGTGCAGTTCGGTGAAGTTCGAAGGGATAGCTGTTGCCGGATTCGGGGCCCTTTAAAAGCAGGAATGGATGGCTTTGTCTTGCACACTGGATGGCTGGTATATTCCGATTGTTCCCCGATCACTACAAGCGATGACCTTTGAAAATTTCTCTGCCTCATGTACGTCTAATGCACGACTCTGAGCATCCAAATAGCTGCGATAGCTCAGTGGTAGAGCGAAGGATTGCAGTCGTCCAACGACAACCTATCCTTAGGTCCAGTGTTCGACTCACTGTCGCAGCTAATCTTTTTGAATTTTGCTCCTTTTCCTTGGTGGCATTCTGTCTGCCTCCCATATGATGCGGAGGCGAGTCAGATCATTTTATTATTTTGCATGAGCTAAGGGTGCTTTAGTGACAGTTCACCATCCGTAGGTGAATATGTGGACAATGAAATGGCTTTCGATAGCCACATGTCAATGTTGAAGCCGACCGGGGAGCTTCCGCAGGCAGCAGGGTTATGAACAGGTGCTCACGCCAGCTGCCCCTCCCCCACCACCCCGCATCCATATCCACACAGCAAACATGGCTACCTACGAAGGCGCGTTCCCCAGTCCACCTTCTCTACTGCAGCCGCTGACCGAACAGACGAACACAACTTGCCCCTAGGAGGCGCTGGCGAGTCTGCGCGCCGCTCGCGCCGCCCCGATCTATCGACCTTCTTCGCGACGTACGAGCTCGTAGATACAACGGACCATGTGCACAGCAACACGCACGCGCTGCCGCTGCCGGAGAATGTCGCAGCTGTGTATCGCAACTTAGCCAACGCCTTTGAGGTGATGCGGCAGGGCAATAACCATGGGGAGAACGAGCTGTTGGGCGGGCTGATCGCGGAGTTGATGCGCAATGCTGATGACCCGCCTTCTGAGGTCAAGGGCGTGTCGGATGAGTGGTTGAATGATCTGGATCGGGTGCCGAAGAAGAGTCTGAAGCCGGATGAGAGCTGTCCGATTTGCTCTAATCCGTTTCTTGAGGGTGAGTGAGCTGTGGGATGTCGGAGCATGCTGACGGAGTAGATGAGTACCCGCTTGTGGTGCGGCTGCCGTGCCATCCTGACCATAAGTTTGACCTCGAGTGTATCCGGCCGTGGCTGAAGGTTCACCCGACGTGTCCGCTGGATCGCAAAGAGTTGGTGAAGAAGAAGGCGCCTCCGCCGCCCCCGGATGAGGAGGAAGACTATGACGATTACTACGCGTGAGTGATGGGTTCATGCCTCCTCCCAGCATTGAGGGCGGATCTATGGTTTGGGAAATGGCTGCAGTCCGGAGTACGGAGTATCATCGCTTGTTTCCAGGACCTGCTCTCGGTAGTGATTCTGTTGCATGCATGGCGCCAGTCACGATGTCTGCAAGAATAGTCTCAAATCTGGCCGTCCGACAGCACCATGCTTCATCGGGGCCTTGACACATATCGCAAAGATTTCAAGCTCTGACTGCTTGATATATTGAAGGCTCTAGCTTTGAAATTGCAAAGGTGCTCTACTGGATAGAGGTGGACATATTTCCTAAGGGGCGTCCCGTCGTAAAATCACCATCACTTCCGGCTCACATGTTGATATATCTAAGCTAGATAACTTTATCCAAGCCACGGAAAGGCGCTACCGGGACTCTGGGCGCCAGGCAGAGGTCCCACAGTGCGAAGTTGTTGAAGTGGTGCATATATTCGCTCCGATCGTCACCCCCTCCACCACCTGGCAGGGCCAGACTGGCCCTGCCTCAGGTGGGGAGGCGGGTGTGTTGTATAGGTGATGCGACTGCTGACCTGAAGAATTCATCGGTTCTGGGAAGAGGCTGGCCCTTGTATAGGCCTGATGCTGTTCGGATTGTATCCGATCTGCGCTCCGCGGCGTTGGCCTTGCTGTGCGTGTGTCGACGGGCCTTCGTCGCCCCGCCCCGCTCATCCGACTCTTTAGTATCGCCCGTGTGCCCATCCTTCTTCCGTTCTCTCCCCCCTTTCGTACCGTCGTCGGCCATCTCGCCGTCGGGTGGACTCTCAAGGTTGAGCACAATGTGGGGTAGTGGGTATGCGGGACCCGGGAGGCTATGCCCCTGAAAGAGGCGCGGCGGGACATCTCAGAAAGTACGAGGCCAGGAGAGGAGGCGTTGGTGGAAGTCGTAGGTACCTCAGCAGTCCAGATCTTCTTCGAAACGGGCGCGCAAAAGGATATCCTTCATCAACTCATGCTTAGCCGCTGCAATCGCCGCGTCCTGAGCAATGGCCTTCGATGCTGACGCATCGTCCGAGTTGGAGGCTTGGGCGCGGTGCGAGGGGTTTGAGTAACCACGCGGCTGGGCTCTCAAGAGACTTGTTCGCCGCATCATGAAGGCCTACGGCGCATGGGCCGCAAACTTCCGCCTCGGTGTAGGGGGCTGTCTCTTCTGTGAGCGGCGCGGCGCGGCGCTCGTTTTCATATTGTACCTCAGTGCGCGGTGAAGCTGGCAGGAAAGCCTCGTCGAGGCTGCTGGGCTCGATGTCGCTATGCTCGTAGTGGCGAGTGACTGGATGCGCCTTCTGTACCAGGGCGCGGTCACCTTGGTCTGTCGACTATGGCCGGAAGGACTCTGGGCTGGGGGGAAGATTGGAAAACGGAGAAATAGGAGCTGAGGACATGGCATCTGCGGATAAATGGAAGCTGACTTGGAAGCGGGGTGGAGATGCGCGTAGTTGGGAAGAAGATCATAAAGAGTGGCGATATAGGAAAGGGAGAGGATATATTCAAACTACATTGTCGGGCAAAGGTGAAGAGAAGGTGATTGCTGGGAAAGCTCGTTGGCTGGTGAATAAATCTGGGACAGAGAAGACGTACATGGGAATGATACGGCAATGAGGAATCCGTTGACGAAACTGGAAGGGTAGATATTTATATCCACCAGGAGCAAGGCAGAGACAATCTGTGGGTTATCGATTCAGAAGCAATCCATCGACAGTCATCCACAAAACGCAGCAGACGAAAATGACCAACGAGGAGAAGATGCCAGTACTCCTTACCCGTCCATCAAACCGCAAATACAAACACACGATCACCATGCCCAGATGAGTATGTAAAGTAGCGTGAGCTGAATTATAACAAGCCGGCCGTAAGCACCGCACCGTGGACGTATATGCGTGCGATATCCCCGAGAACCAGCACCAAACATGCGTCTCCATCTCCAAAAGATCCAACCATCTCCAAAATCCCCAGCACCAAACTCCTTCCCGCTCAACGCCAAAACTCACGCCATAACACTCACCTTCCCCTTGAACAAGCTCCTCAACCCAGACGACTTCCTCTCCTTCTCCTTCGGCCGCTCCTTCGGCCTCTCCTTCGTACTCGTCCTCACCCTCCTCGTACTCCTCGACGTCCTCGTGCCCGCCTCGCTCCTCGTCCCCCTCCCCGCCTCACTCCCGAGGTCCGTCTTCGCCCTCCTCGTCTGATGGGTCCGATGCGTCTTCCGACTCGTAGTCGACTTCAAATCCTCCTCCCGCAACACCCCCTCCTCAATCAACCTGCGCGACGCATCCGGCGTCACAAACTCGCCGTCCACCGTCGTCGCCACGGCATCCGCCTCCGCATCCGCAATCCCCCTCCTCCACCTCTCAATCCCACTCAAATCAGCCTCAATCTCCCTCAACTCATTCGGCCCTCCGCCGCCTGCCGCACCCATAGCCATCGGCATCGGCAGCGCGGCCCCCTCACCCGCCGCCTTAATATGCTTAATAATCTTATACCCCCCCAGCATAACCACCGTAACCCCGACCCCCACCCCTGCCGCAATCAAAAACTGCGGACTCGCAAGCAGCGCCACAACAGCGGGAAAACTCCCCTTCAGCGCCGTCAACATGCCCGGCGCCATCTTCGCCACGATCTTGCTGATCTCAGCTAACGTCATGGCGACCGCGGCGAGGGTCTCCGGGTCCTTTTGCAAATTCTCGATTGTGGTGGACGCGGAGTAGTGCAGGCAGTGCGCTTCCTCGAGTAGCTTCTCGACGCGCGTCATTTCGCTCCTCAAGTACGCTTCTTGGTCCTCCCGCGAAGGGAGCGGAGGCGGAATCTCCCCGTACGCCAGATCCATGTCGATGCTCTCGCTGCTCTGCCGCCTGTGTCGCCCGCCGTACGCCAGCGCATCCGCCTCGCTGTGCCTCCTCTCCGGCGCAGCTAAGCGTGCCAGATCATGACTCGTATGGGCCCGCACCGGCGCCGCAGGGACGTATTCCTCAACCATGGCCATTGTTTTCGCGCGGTGAGCACCGGGCCTACTGCGCGAGCTGACGTGGGAGCCGCCATCGTCGACGGAGAGTTGGCGGAGGGCGCGGCGGGCGGCCTTCTCGTGCGATTCGGTGCGGCGGGCGGTGCGGAGCTCGGCTTTGCGTTCTTTGTAGGCGGCGCGGGCTTCTTTGTAGATGTTGACGAGTTGTTTGCTCTAGCGTGGGTTAGTGCGGGTGGGTGGGTGGGTGGGTGGGGGGGGGGGAGGGGAGCATTACGGTGGAGACGATTTTGCCGGATTGGTTTACGACGGTTATGGTTTGGTTTAACATTTTCGTGGTCGCCGAGGGGTGAGCAGCGGCGTGGCCCGGCGAGGATGGGCGTGGGACGGCGAGGAATATAAAGAGAGGTGCGGCTTTTGATCGTCGGTGCTGCCCGAGCGGTTAGGTCCTGGCGCCACCTGTGGCGGATATCCGGGAGGGGCTGAGCGTGGTGATACGATTGGTGGGAAGAGACGGAGGTGCAGGCGCCCGCGGCGCAGCGGTGATGTGGCGCTGTGTGATTGAGAGGGGATAAATGGAAGACTTGAAGACTTTGCGGTGCGTCGTGAAGGCCAGTGGGATGCGTGGGACTGCGGTATGATGAGGTCTTTGTGCAGAGGGCGCGGGTGACGGTGGACGGTGGACGGTGGACGGTGGTTGATGAGGTGTCGCGCGCTACTGTACCATGTACTTGTTTCGCTTCACTTGAGCGACGATTCTGAAGCGACGGTCGACGATGGGGCGCTAGATCGACACGCCAGCGTTGCTAGCTGCGGGGTCGGGCCGTGGTGCTTGTTTTAGGGCGCTTGGAGGTAGAAATGGGCCTGATCATCGCGATGTGATGCTGGGTAAGAGTTCTAGAAGGGAGATGGAACCAGTCGGTGGTCAAAGAGAGGCAGTCAACCGACGAGAATTTACTGATGGAGACGAGACAAGCGCACACAAAGACAAGAGCAAACCATCGCCGTTGCCCAGAGATGTCGCACAGATTGCAGGCGCTACGTACGTGGCCCACGGCAG